GCCTTGGTGTGTTTGGGGATGTCTGTATTGACTGACTGTGGTGTGCTGAATGCGATACGGCACCTGGTGGATGCTGATTACAGAATTTTAAGACGTGTATGATACAGTAACTGGCAGTGTGGGGCAGCTGCAATTGTATCTTGAAAGTGAGTCTTTCATGGGAATCAGAAGATTAGGATGCCAATGATTTGTCTCAAAAAAGTTAATGAATTTGTAGATGGACATTCACTGAAAGATGATACTAAGGATAATAATGATGGCAGCATAAATTATTTTTACTAGAGAGAGGAAATATATGTAGAAAAAACATGTTATCTATAAGACTGAAGCTTTTTCGTTCAAATGATTTTGAAAGAGTATTTCACTCTTGCCTTGAAATTAATAAATCAGACTGGAGCTGTAGTACCTGATGTTGTGCATTGTCCTCTCAAGTCTGGTTTTGAGGCCAGTGGAGAGTGACACAGATAGTGCTGTGAAGGAAGAGGTCACACTGTGCTGGATAGGTAAGTTGTTCTGCTGAAATGAGGTTGCAGCTGGGAATACCTTTTAACCACAAAGGAGAGCTGGTCACTCTGGGTAACAGAAAAATAAGGTGTTGGCAAAATAAAACCAAGTTTGTTCTTTTAATGTGAGGTGTAGAGCTGTCCTTTCTCACAGTATGTTTAGTGTGTTTAAAAGAGCCTGGCTTTGTCTGAGTGCCCATGTGCTGGAGGTTTCAGCTACATGTTCAGTGGGGTCAAGGCTGGGAGAGGTGCTGTTGTGTCATGTTGGTGTGCCTGGCCTCTTGTGCCATGGTGATAAATTCCCTAGCTGTGAACTTTGAAAAGGCAGCTTGCCACTGGCTCACCCCTGCTGTGTGCAGGGCACTGGGAGTGCTGACCACATCCTGCTCCGAGACATTCCCTCGAGATGCCACCTTCGAGCCTCATTGCTCCTTTCTGGGAGAGTGAGACATGCATCAGCCAGAGCCACGAGCCTTGTTGGCATCATGCCTTTAATTGCACCAAAGAGAGGGAGGGCAGATGACATCAACTCATAGTTGTTAATTTTGTTTTAAAGAGCATCTCCTGTTTTCATGGTGGCAAAGAGCAGGGACAGTATTGTAGAGCAGAGAAATTAGGGCTTCACATGTTTTGGAATCCTTGAAATTCTCTTTTGTATCATCTCTCTGGTACAGCTAGTGTTTATTCCTGGTGTTATTTTGATGTTACATAATTGAGAAATGATTAGGACCATCAAATCTTGTGTTAGAAGTCAAATCCAAAAGAAAGCAGAGCCTACCTGTTTCTCTTGGAAGTCAGCAAGGTGCTAGTACCAGAGAAGGGCTCATGCTGGGTTTTAGACACAATGAAAGGTGAGTGAGAAGTGGAGTATGTGTGCTGCTGAAAGAGAAGTAACCTCTTTACTGCACTAATACTCACTGAAACGTGTTCTCTTGTTCTGGCTGAAATTTGTTCTGGTTTCCAAAATACTCCCATGGTCCTGAATTGTTTCTATTTCATTGTGTACACTCCCTGTTCTAAAAATAAAGATAATTAAAAATCAAACTAAGTTGTTTGTGGTAGACAAGGCTCTTTGAAGTTACTACAATATCCTGAATATAGAAAATGAACTTAAAATGTTTACCACAATTTAAAAATATATATATTCTGTAATGTTTTACGTTTCAGTTTATTAATTTGCCTGAATAGTTATCTCTTCAGCTGTTTAACTAGGTTCTTTAACTACTGAAGCTAATACATTATTCCAGAATAATCATAAATTTTATTAAAAGAAAGAATAATCTGATAAGCTGTTATTTCTATCACCAGTAATTTGTGACAACTACCGCATTAAATATGTGCAGCCCATGTTTTTCCTTAGTGGGTTTTAAACTGTGATTTAACTTAAGCTAAGCACAAATTATTTTGCATTTCTACCTGCACAGGCTACTCCAGGTGCAATGTATCCATCCTTCTCACATTCACTGTTTAGGAAAAAACCCGTGAAATCTGCACACTTTTCACTGCCACTGCCTTGGTGGCAGTGTGTAGGAGATGTCGTTTCTCCAGCTGGAGGATGAAAAACCATTGTAGTCACTGGTCTTCCAAAATCCAGACAGTAGAGAGCTTTGCAAGGGAGGAGGAATGCTAACCCTTCTTCTTGACTTGGCGTTCCTCAGTGGCATTGATGGCATGTTTCTGGGACTAAACAAACACTAGTGGAACAGGGAAAAGGCTGCTACCAGCCTCCGAGCTTCCAAAAGAGAGCGCCCCAAAGTGATGTGGAGATGGCAGTGGAACTGGCTGTGCCTGCACTGCCCCTCAGGTTTACTCTGCAGGAGTAGATCTGAGGAGTGAAGCAGTTGGCTGGAGGACCTGATGCTCCTGTGGTATTTGAGGGGCTGCTTGGGCTGGTGGCAGGCTGGTCCCGTGAGGAATTACAGGGGCAGCAGGTTCAAGAGAACCAGTTTCTCTAAGATACCCAAGGAGCAGCTGGTTTGCCTGTTGTGAGTGTCCTGTGCTGTGCAGAGCAGGCAGGGAGTGTGTGTATGTGAAGAGGTTTGATAAGGAGGTTCACTTTTAAAGGCATGTTCCTGGTCAAATAAAAGCAATGCTGTAGACAAGGGCTTACTGCTGTTGGCTTTTGGCAGAATCAATAGCAATAGCAAGGTGATGTGCTTGGGGACCCCAAGATGTGACATTCCAAACCATTAAGAAGCATAAAAAGCAGCAAAATTTAACTTTTGAAGACTATTTGTACCACAGATACTTAAGGTATAAGATACAGTTTTCTGTCCTAATAGGAATTTCCTAATAACATGGGAAGCAGGTTTGGCCTTTCTGTGTGGATTAACATATCAGATAAAATGTAGAAGTACTGTCTTAACTTCCTGTCTATTTGTTCTTTTGTTGACTATGTCCAGCCCTGTAGAGATTGGTAGAATTGCCACAAGTGTTTTAAAGGATTTACTGAAGGATCCTTTCTTACCTGCTGCAGTTTTCCATCTGTCTTTTCTCACCCCAGTTGCCGCTGATCTCTTCCACGCCCAGAGGTCCTGTCAAGGTATGGCAGAGTGGCTGCTTTGGAGACGCCGTGCTGTAAGCTGTATTTTCCTTCCCTCCTTGCCCATAGAACAGGCTTGCAGCTGGAGTCCCGCACTGCAGCTGGGCTCGCTTTGCTGAGCACCTCCTGGCGCTTTGTCGGTGCTGTTGCCCCGTGGTGTTGGCTGTGGGCAGGGACAGCCCTGCTCAGGCCATTTGTCCTCAGGTTTCCAGCCAGTGACTGCCCCCCTCCCTGCTCTGCTGGCAAATCGCGCTTGTAGCCTCACAAACGTCAGGGAGGTGCATTCCTGGTGCAGTGTTTCACGTTCCTGTGGCTGCCAGGCTTTTTCAAACTGCCCTTGCACAGCTCTGTTGGTCCATACTGAGGTAGAGATGCTGCATGCCCCATTCCAATGGGTGCGTTAAACACCATTTATTCTACCAGCTGCAGGATAGGACCATAGCATTGCTTTTTGAAAGTGTGTCTGGTGAAATTTTCAGTTTGAACAATATTAGCTAAACTTTCCATCTCTGTCCACTCAAACTCAACTCGCAGAGGATGAAGCAGAGGGAGTCATTAAAAATTTATAGTTGTTTAAAACTAATAATCACTTCTTTTAGCTTTTACTCCCTTCATACTAATTCCAAATGTTTGATTACACTGTTCCACAATTTCACTTCAATTAAAACAGGAAAACCACTGGAGACTTAAAAAAAAATCGAAGTAATAGTGCTCATCACAGTATCCCTGTGGATTGAAATAGGGCTGTGCAGGCTGGGCTTAGAAAGGTTTAAAGTATATTTTGCATTTCCAGGCTGTCTTTGTAGCAGTTACCTCTTGGTTCCTGTGCCCGGGCGGTGCCCGTTCCGGTCCGTGGGGGCAGCGGTGCGGCGGTGCCGCGTCCCGAGCGATGCTCCGCTGTGCGCTTTGCTGCCAGCCCCGGGGCCGGGCCGCCCTCAGAGCTCCCGGTGCCTCTGCGCTGATAAACACACAGCACATCAAACCTGCAGCTGTGGAGGACGGTGTGGGACGCGTGAGTGAACAAAGGGCACGCAGGGCCTCGGGAAGGCCGGGCAGGGCACGGGGGGTTCTGCCCTTGGCAGCTCGGCTGCTGCTGCTGCTGCTGTGACTGTGGCAGGGGATGGGCTTTGGCTTTGGCCCTGCTGGGCCTGGAGGGGCAGGAACTCTGCACAGCTGCTTAAGTTGGGTATGGGGATTTCTCCAAACACACATAACATACCAAGGGCAATTTTGGTTAGAGTGGGGATGGAAGAAGCACTGCTCTGTGCTGACCGTGTTTTCATCCCCAGTGATCCAGGCCCAGCACTGGCTGCAGAGCCCCACCAGGGCCATGGCAGAGACCCTCCACCCCTCCCAGCATCACCACACCTAGAGGTACTTGAGCCTGGAATCAAAAGAGCTGAAGCAAATTATTTTTCAGAAGGGCATGTAGGGACTGAACAAGAACTAGAAGAGACTTGGGTTAGATATTGGGGAAAAAACTTTTCACTGTGAGGGGGTGAGGCATCAGAAGCTGTGGATGCTGCATCCCTGGAAGTGTTCAAGGCTAGGCTGGGTGGAGCTTTGAGCAGCCTGGTGTAATGGAAGGTGTCCCTGCCCAAGGCTGGGGGTCATATTTGATCTTTGAAGTCTCTGCCACCCCAATCCTTTCTGGGATTCTGTGAAATTCCTGCACTGCTTTTACCTCTGGTACCAAGTTCACTTGCTGTATTTTGGTGTAATGATCACAGCAGCATGCAGGGGGGTGAGAGGAGGGTTTATGAGGGTGATTTGGGATACCCCTGTGGGATACCCCTGTGTGAGGACCTTCAGCCCCCATGGCCATGGCCTCAGAGGAGCTGCCTGCCCCCGAAGCACAGCATGAGGTGAACACGTCCAGGCCCAGGTTTGGTACCTGCACCTGAAAACAGAGGGAGCTACACTGGGCAAAGGGGTTCACAGGGCTTGATTTATAG